AAAATACAATATTAAATAAAGTCACATTAATAATAAGAATTCAAAGAAAAGTGTATATTTCATTATAGCTTAGAATGTAATAAGAATGCATACCAACGACCATATCATTAGTGTAACCGGGAGTATTGAAGTTTAACATAGAGTTTATTATTTTTAAATAAGTTGGCGTAAGTGTATACACTGTCTGTTTTCCCTTAAACTATGAAATTAAAACCGCTTCGTATCTTTCTTTCTACGAACTAAATTTTTCTTCCTGTATTATATCCTTATATGCAATCTTCCTTTTATATATTATCACAATTGAATTAACTACTTCTATGAATCCGGTGTTCATCTTCTTGTGCTAATGAGGTATGACAATTTGGACCGATGTATATATGTTCCTGGTCCTACGTTGTAGCTGACTGACTGACTGAAGTTGAAATTCATTGTATTCTAATTCCAATATTAATTAATTCACAAAAAACTATGTTTATCATCTATTGTCATCGGTGATAATTGTCCATATCCTAAACTATCAAAACTTCACTAATTACGAAAATAAAGTTTTAATAATCAGTAGCAAAGAATATTTAAGTAAATAACAAGTTTTACCAAATAATAATTATTAAACTTTTTTTAAACAAAAATACCAGTTAAACAAACTGTGTGAAATTAACTCTTGATAAAGTTAGATTGATATCATGAATCAATGAATGTTAGATCACAACTGAATATCTGGAAGCACTGGACAGTCGTTTTGTCTTAGTATGGTATGCCTCAGATTTGCACATCCATGATCTCGTGAGAGAATGCTTAAAATTTAGACCACTGAGTAGACATCAAACGGTGTTAATGTCTAACGTCTTCGTAAATTGTCAAAATGTTAGTAATATTTTAGTATTCTTTAAATTTTTCATTATTATAGTATATGAAATCAAACTACAGCATTTTACACTTGTATTAAAAACTTGAAAATTCTGACAAGAAAGCAATATACTATTAACATATATATATATATATATATATATATATATATATATATATATATATATATATATATATATATATATATATAAGCTTTGATAGTCGATATATTTTGCTTTGAAGTGATTAGTTTAAACTAACTCAATTATTTGAAAGAGACTTAGTGAAAAAGTTATCCTTCAATTACCTTCATAGCATTCAGTAGAATAATTAAGTTATTAGTATTGAAAAAGAAAGGAGTTATCTTTCATTTAAAGATCTGTTACTTTATTAATAAATGTTACATTTGTAGATTTCTGAGAGATTTGTAAACTTTCACAAACTTATACAGCAACATCGATGAACAAAGAGGATCTGATTCAGGTGTAAAGGCGAAGATTGAAAAAATAAAGGCAGCATTCCTACAATTGAAAAACATACAGACCTCAAAACAACTGTCAACCAATATCAAAGTGACAATCTTCAAAACGAATGTCAAGACAGGTCTACTGTACGGAGCTGAAACTTCGAGAACTACTACAATCATCATCAACAAAGTACAAGTATTTATAAACAACTGTCTACGAAAGATACTTAATGTCCGTTGACCGGAATCCATCAACAACAGCCTACTGTGAGAGAGAACAAACCGGAATCGAGCTAAATAGGAAATTAGGGAATGATGTTGAAAGTGGATAGGATACACATTACGGAAATCATTAAACTTCATCAGAAGTTAAGCGCCAATTTGTAATTCTGGGGAGAAAAGGAAAATAGAAAGGCCAAAAAAGCACTACACCAGGAAGTGGAAGCAGTGTAGTGTCGGTTGCTATGTTAAGCTCACATAGCTTATCTTAGCTTTCAGTTAGACCAGTTTATTCATTCTACTTGAGCCACATTTTGACCTTGTTAATTATTCACTTGTCAACCTTGATTTTTTATATAAGTGTGTGTGTGCACTTCTTATCCTATTCATCACATGTCTGTAAGTCATTTATGTTCGACCATAAAGATCGATTTACGCTTGGTTAAATTGAGTTGGCTTACATACTTTCTCCACCGTACGTTGTTTCACTTCACTCTCTTCGCTTCCTTTCACCGATCGTTTGTCCGGATCAATCACTGTATGAAATGCACGTATCCAAAATTCATTCTCATATTTGACTTATTGAATTCCATTATTCACTAACGAGAGAAAAGTCGATAATTATATGACAGTATTAGAGACGTTTATATTTCGATAACTTGATAACAAACAGCAAATGATTTACATGGAGTCAGATCTTGGGATACTAAAGCAGACATGTAAAGGATGAATAGCGACTAGGAACAACTGGAAAATATTTCCCAGAACAGAGTTCAATGGTAAATGCTATTGGGCGGCTTATGCTCCTCTACACACTGATTTCATTTGAAGCAAAGTTAGCAACTAGAAAGCATTAGATAACTATTTCGTTTAGTATTAAGCTGTTCAGTAGTGGGCATTCACGATATTGCTAAAAGCATGACCCCTTCGACCAAACTATAATTCCATTAGTGGTATATTACAGGATTATTCTGAAGCTCTAATGGGAAGTCATGGCTGGTAAAGTCTAAACATGTTGTTGGTAAAGCACATGTCACCAATGGAACTAGGTGTTCACAGAGCCAAATTGATTTCAATTGAAATCTTACCATTGAAGGCTGACTCAATGATTCTAAATGTGAATCGTTCCCCACGATTTATGTAGGTCCTCATTTCGGCAGCTTGCTTAGGTGTGGATCCTCATTTCTGAGGAGTTAAATACTAGGAACAAAACAGCTGTCGATTGATTTATGTTTTCCACAGGTGCGTCAACTGAAATTAATCTATCACAAACATAAACTATAAATTAATATAGTCTCCACAAAACTCTTTCAGTACGATATTTATCAATGTAGATATAGATATTTCATAAACCAATTAGGAACAACCATACAAGTGTACGTTTATTTATGATACTGATCTAAGAGATGGACTGTCTCAAAACGCCCTGGTACGGCCGAGAGTGGGGAGAGTTCGCTCTCCCCCTCGAAATACTCTCACATGGCCACGCGTATATAACCTCCACCAGGGAAGTCCTACTCACTGCCTTCTCACACCACAGGTGTTGTTTACAAAAATGAGAGGACGAAAAGCGAATGTCCGGCGCTATTACCGGATCCCAAACCAGTGGTACACATGGGCTCCAGTATCCTGAGGGAACAAATGGCGTATGAACCAATTTTCGGTCACCGGCTACCATGGGACTGCATCTCCTTACGATGCTCCACTGCCTTGTGGATCAGATTTTCAGGTCGAAGGCTCGGGGTGTGGCCCCCTAAGAAAACCACCTGCTTCGGTTTGGGTACCCGGGCAGTATCACAGCCCTCACACATATCAATTGATATCTATGTGGCGCATATATATTTGGTGCTTCCTTGTACCAATATCTATGTGTTAAAATAATATAATTATAATAAAGAGATGGACTATTATTGCTTATCATAAATCTTCGATCATTACTCTGCGACGCAACTCAAAATGTAAACTTAGGTCAACATCACTAATTACGTGAAATAGTAAGACAGAATGTATGCATAATTTAACACCTTTTTCAAAAATTTCTTTACAAACTGATTTCAATTACATGTTTATTTGAAAATTATAGAGAACTGTTTTGCCGCAAGAAAAAATTGACCCCTAGTACAACACATAAATTTAACACCGAATTACTTAAACCTTTTATCTGTGTTTTATGATGAGTTCTTCTTTATGTCCACATGGGTTATTCTAGCTTCCAAACATACCGATTTTTTATTTTTCATGAGCCACACATTTTGATCTTGCCAATTATTCGCTTAATAACCCCATTGAATCACAGTTTATCTAAACGAGTTAGCGCACCCAGTTCTCTTTTTTATTCCAATTTTGATTTTGAAAGTCTGAATAAATAAGTACTTTCAATAGATTCATCTAACTCAACCTGTATTTGACTTCTTATTACCGGCATCACACAAAAATGGGGTTAGCCTAGTGTTGTAATGTACGAAATTATACGGGAGATTTGATGTTCATACCACTATTCCAAACGTCTAATCAAATTGGAATTAAATCAGTTGGTCACCAAAAAGTTACTTAAAATAGTAATATTTACAATATCTAAATTAAACAGTTGATTACATTTTAATACTCAGTCATATACTATTTAATTCTATTTATTAATATCTGGAGTATCTCAATGAAATATTTGTCCCTCTATTATTTATTCAGTTATTTATTTGATTGATCTCTCCAAAACTCAAACACATAACAATAATTTTAATCGTTGAGATCATAAGTTAATTAAAGTTAGACCACTATGGAAAATCTTGAAAGCACTGGACGATTGTTTCGTCTTATTGTGGGATTCCTCAATAGTGCTCATCCACGATCTCAACACGTGAGATTCGAACACAGGAACCATCAGTCTCTTCTGACAATAAATTAAATCATTCTATCAATATACATATCTATATTAGAAAAATTATTAGAATTTTTTGGCTGACATATCTGTGTGTTGAGAAAACTATTATTGTTTTATTGAGTCTAGACACGCATCATAATTTTATTTCTTTATCATTGAAATTCTTTATGTAACGGATCTAAACAAAATAGAATTAAGTAAAATAATTTGAGAAAAAATAAAGAATTAATGAAGTAATTAAAATCATGTTTACATTACATTATATTACATAATGAATACTGACAATCTGATACTAATTCACACCCACACACATATACACATACATACTACATACATACATACACAAGTATGTAATGGTAGACATGTATATATATCAATATAACCTTGACCTACCAATTTATTAATTAGACCTGACATAGATACATATAAATACATAAATGTGATAGAATTTACTGAAAAATTAAACCAAATCATTTCTCATCATCATATTTATCATCATAAAATTCTAATTGAAACAAACAGTCGTGTCAGTCTCTTTTTTTAAACGGATTTGTTTTCCCCCCTCCAATAACAAAAACGAAAAAAAAGACAATGAATCTATTATGTAATTCTTCTAATAAATCATTATCAAAATCATCAATAAATCATGATTTAGAAGTGATTGTTGTTGGTTTAAATAAAACTGGAACTAGTTATTTAAAATCTGCCTTAGAAACATTATATCATGGTACAACATGTTTACATTATACTGATTTAATTTATCAATCAAATGATATAATAGAAAAATGGTTAGAATTACATTTATGTCAATATCAAACAAAAATAAATGGTTTTCATTATAATAAACAAGAATTATTAAAAATATTATTAAAAAATTATAAATCTGTATCAGGTATACCAATTACATCATTTTTAAATGATTTAATACAAATGTATCCTAATGTTAAAGTAAGTTGATGGTGTGTTTATTTTTTGTTTTGTTTTAATGTATTTTCCAATTTAGCTATTATATATGTTATTCATTTTCTAGTATGTTTCTATGACTGTACAAGTTTTCTGTTGAATGAGTCAATTGAAAGTGCGGACACTACTGGTATGGGTAACCGGTTCCAAGTATTAATGATTTGGTATGAAAACCTGTAGACCAATGGTATTTTGATTGTTCCTGGCTCCGATCTAGTGGGAAGAAAAAGAGAGAATATATTAGATATGTAATCATTTCTAAGTATTCTATACATCAAAATTAGATGTCCTCTTAGTATGCGATAGGACAGAGTAAATAGGTCTAGCTATTCAAGCTGTTTTTTTATGGTAAACTCCGGAGATCTGGAATTGCACGGGTAGCTGCCCTCTGTACTTTTTCTATGATACCTTAATCACCTTTTAAACAGGGGTTTACAGCCTGAACACAGTTCTCAAGCTTATTAGTCACTAAGGTTGTGTATACTGTAGTGAACATGGTAGTGTCTAACGTAGTTAATGTCCGTTTTAAAGCCGAGAGGGTTCTGAACCCCTTAGTTGCGACCTAACGGCAATGAGCTGTCGCTCTAAGATCATGATTCACTGTCAACCCAAGATTGTTATGAGATCGGACCACGGGTACAGGTACTTCCCCTATGCTGTACCTTTATTATTATTATTACCTATTAACCTTTGTATTTCCAAAGTGCATGTAGACACACTTTGCAGCGTTGGTAGTCATCAGCCACTCTTTAAACCAGTTAATCACCTTATTTATGTCTGCCTGAAGTGTACATGTATCTGGGTCTCTCGTTATTACTCGCCAGATTTTTGCACCATGAGCGTATAATAACATTGGGGACTGTACTATACTTGGGAGATCATTTACATACAGTATAAAAAGTAAAGGACCTAGGATAGAACCTTGAGGCACTCCACTAAGTACTGGTCTCCAGGTGGAGCACTTGAAATTTATTCCTACTTTCTGTCTGCGACCTACTAGGAAATCCTTAAGCCATTTTAAAAGAGGTCAGGCAATACCAAAATTTTCTAACTTCAATAGCAGTCTATTTGCTGGCACCTTGTCAACTGCTTTACTGAAGTCTATGTAGACAAAATTCCAATCAATGAAATTAACTAACCTTTCAAAATTTGACAATTTTGTTTATACATTTGATTATTGCTTGGAAAGTTTTAAATGTAACTAAAAGAGTTTCAAACATGGTGTTCTTATATGAATCTTTTGTAAATGCATATAGTTTTCATATTCGAGCGAAAAGAATTACGACTAATACAATAGGGAATTTGTGGAGATTGTTGAATTTCATAGTTAAAATCATGGTCTGATCATCCGTATCGATTATGAGGCAGTTAATCATTAATTGTAATGAGAGATTGTTGTTCAATCCTCAGTGGAGTAGTGGATACACTTTTAGGGTGACCTATATTACCAGGAAAGCGCTGTACACAGCTCCCTAGTTCGCAGTAGCTGTTTAACAAAGATCAATCACTGACCTAAACTATGAAACCCTTAATCTACTCTTATTTCACTTATTATACATTCCTCGCAATTAATGTCAACTAATGTTACCAGCATATCTACAAATGAAAAACACCTTGATCTCAAAAAAAATGTCAACTAACACCAAAGTCAGAATTTTCAATACAGATGTCAAAACAGTTTTACTGTATGGGACGGAAACTTGGAGAATTACGAAAGTCATCACCCAGTAGATACAAGTGTTTATTAACAGTTGTCAACGCACAATCTTTTGGATCCGTTGACCCGACACTATCAACAACAACAAACTATGGGAGAGAACAAACCAGATTCCAGTGGAGGAAGAAATCAAGAAGAAGCTCTGGAAGTGGATAGAACACACATTGAGGTAGGCACTGAACTGCGTCACAAGCCAAGACTTCACATAGAATCCTCAAGGCTAAAGGAGGAGAGGAACACCAATGAACACACTACGTTGAGAAATGGAAACAGACATCAGAAGAATGAACAAAAATTGAATAGAACTAGAAAGAAAAACCCAGGACAGAGTGAGTTGGAGAATGCTTGTCGGTGGCCTATGCTCCATTGGGGGTAACAGGCGTAAGTAAAGTATGTAAGTATGTAAATAATATCATAGTTAGCAACATTGAAATTAAATTATTCATGCTATAATTTATTTCTTAATTAATCACTGATCAATTATCAATGTCTATCGTATACTTTCACTTCTTACTTAACATATACACATATAAAAATATTATATATATATATATATATATATATATATATATATATTTGCTTAAACTTGATCAATTCCAGGTTATTTTAACAGTACGTAATGCTGAATTATGGCATGCTGCTTGTCGTACAAATCTTATACCCTATCAATCAAATGAATCAAAATTACAAAAAATGTTTCAAAAATTTACATTTTTCTCATGGTTAATTAATTTAAATCAATTAAAATTATTATCATTACAAAATACATTAGGTAAAACAATTGATTTAAAAAATGATAATGAATTAATTCATGCCTATAGTCGTTGGAATGATTATGTTCAATTAATTGTACCAAAAGATCGTTTATTAATATATAATATTAAACAAGGTTGGTTACCATTATGTGAATTTTTAAATAAACCAATACCATGTTGTACATTTCCGGGTAGAAATACAATATTTTTATATAATTATTTATTACGTAATATTAAAAAATTATTTCATTTTATATTATATACTTTTATTTATTTATTTATTATTTATTATTTTTTAAATCTTTTTAGATAAATAGGTATGATGATGTTTATTTTTATTTTTCATTGTTTATTGTTATTATTATTATTATTATTATTATTATTATTAATATTATTGTTCTTGCTTGGATACGTACAGACACACACATGCACACACGCACACACACACGCACAAAGAACTACTCACAATTTGAAGAAATAAACAAACATATATATATATATATATATATATATATATATATATTAATCAATTCTGTATTATGATTATCCTATTGTTGGACTATTCTTTCATTATTATAATCCTCTGATAAATTGTTAATTATAATTCAATTATCTTTAAATAAATTGTTAATTATTTATTGAATATGATTTTAGGTAAGCAATTTTAAAGATGTATGTGTGTGTATGTGTGTACGTGCGTGCGTGTGTGGATTTTTCTTTTTGTTTATTTATTGTTTACAAATTACTTTTTTTGTTTGTATACATAGTTCAAAAGCGTTTTTTTAGTAACCAAATGTGAATAAACCTTGTAAATAAATTATTTTGTTATTAATACGTCTATTCTAGTTCATTTATCCAGTATGGTGACAATTGGTTATTGATAAATGATGAATGCTCCGGACATTAGTTTTTGGTACTTTGAATTCCGTAAACAACAGCGCCAACACGAGAACGCAGTGAGTAGGAATTCCTTAGCAGTGGCTATATACGTGTTACCATGTAAGAGCATTTCGAGTGGGAGAGAGGACTTTCCCCCCCCCTTAACCATACCAGGGAGTTAGGGGTTGGTGGACAGGGATGATCCATCTAGGGGAGTTGGAAAACCCTGATTATAAGCCAGTGGTACACATAGGCGAGCTCCAGGATCCTGAGGGAAAAATGGCGTATGAACCAATCGTTGGTGACATCGCTCCACTGCTCTATGTATCAGACATTTAGGCCGAAGACTCCGGGAGTGGCCCCCTAAAAAACCGCATGCTTCGGCTTGGGCACCCAGGCAATGTCATAGCTCACGCACAAATCAAGTGACTTGTGTGGTACATATGTATTCGGTGCCCCTTTGTACCATTATTTATGTGTTCAAAAAATAAATAACAAATAAATGCTAGGTGAAGTGATTTTGTAAAGATTATTTAAATTTGTACATAGTATCTGTCACAGATTATTCTCAGTTGGATTAAGTTCTGGTAAGTAGTTGTTACCAGAAAGGTTTAGATATATTGAGAGTATAGCATCCATTATGAATGGCATTGAACGGTTGTCTTGCTACATCAGTAGTTGGTTAAAGTTGGAAATTTGTACCACTGGACGTCAACCAAATGGTCTGGTGGTTAGTAGAGTGTTATGAAACCTGAAGGACTTAGATTCCGTTGTTTCAGGTTTAGGAATGAATTCTCCATAAATTCACCTCATTAGAATGAAGTGACTGTTCAGTGTTGTATGGTGTTCGCCTGTGTTGTGTGTCCGATCAGTGAAAAAGTTCAGTTCGTCCAATAAACTTGTCTAAACTTCCTCAGGATTATGTTTGATTTAAGTCAATATTAACTTGACAAATTTGGTGAATCAATCTTGAATATATCATTGATTATGGCTGCTTTTTATTATTTTCCTGTCTACGAAATTTCAGACATTTATACTATTGTATAGTTAATTGAGCCAATTGAAGCTAGATCACCATAGAAAACCTGAAAGCACTGGACGGTACGCGCGAATAATAAGTCCTGGGTTCGAATCTCGAGAGACGGGATCATGGATGAGCAGTGCTGAGGAGTCCCACAATAGAACGAAACGGCCTTCCAGTGCTTCCAAAGTTCTCCATGGTGGTTTAGCTTCAACTGACTCATGAATCCAACTATAAAATTACTAAAATCTCCACAAAGTCCCTTTCTGATTTATACGATTGGTTAAGTATTCTCCTTGACTGATATTTAGTAAATTCAACTATTTAAAACATTTGTTTAATGCATTTATCACAACCTATTTGTGAGAGTTACTTGTTTTAATCTCTTTCTTAACAATAATAATATTCATTATATTAATAATAGAAATAATAAATGGAAACCTCTGATTCGTGATACTTAACTTATCAAAGAAGCGGTGTAGAACTATGGTATAGTATACTTATCTTTACTAATATAATAATAGATCTAATCCCAAAATTGTCATGATGTGATAACCTAATCTATAAGATTTTACGTGCAAAACACACCATGGTTTACGCCGACTAGTCCTGTTGTGATAGTCAGCAATATAACATCTAATAATTCTGAAGAACACATTTTTGGGCTGGGTAGAGAGTAATATATTCAATACAAAAGCAAGAGGTTACATGTGAGGACTACGCCTTCATGGTCGAGTCATGCCATTTCGATTGATTATTCCCGCGTTCACCATTAACAATCTCCCCTAAGTGTTAGATGTTGAAATTCAATCCTCTCACTAACTATATATTTAGTTTTGAGACTTATGTGGTTAGAAACTACTACCACTATAACAGTTTACTATTTCATTCAGGTGTGCACGAATTATCCTGACACGAAAATTTGAGTAAAATCATATAGTTAGATTGAATGATAAGCTATTTTCTTTTAATAAAAAGCGTTCGAGGAAAAAATACGACATAGCTTCTGATAGTGTGATGAAAATTGAAGTGAATATGATGTCGACAAGGTACAAGACATCTTTATATTTATTGCCGAAATGCATCTGCAATTTCCAGGGGACTGATATTTCAAAAACCCACATATACATTATTTCAAATCCATTCAAGCTACAACTAACCTATTATAGTACGGGAATAATTACATTAGGTCAGAACAAATCTTGCTTTTTCACAGCACTAGCTAGCGCTAATCAGCTAAATGCATATGATTTGAAGTCACTTAAACTAGTGACAACGTGATAACTTGATCAATCAAATTTGATTATAAACGCCCCCGACCGTAGCTGCTACCTTGATGTGGTGGTCGGGCTTGCCTATCGTGATGACCCAACCGAGCTATGTTGGCTAGAACATGTGTTCCTTCAGGTTCTACCATGCCAGGCAGGTCGATTAGAGAACGGTAAGACTAAAAGCAGCAACACATGGTCTGAGGGCGAAGTCGTAATGCTGACTGTACAGAGGTGTGACAGCGGTAAGGTGTGTCCTTCGGATAACCAGCATCTGCAGCGATGCTACCTTCTCACAAGGAAGGAAGAGGTTAGAAAAGGTTGACCCTTAAAATGTCACACCTCACCTTACCCCATGGATTTCCGTCTCCTGCGGTAAGGCCGTTAAAAATCTACAAAAAGGCCGTGCGCGACCGACCTCAAGTAATTGTCCTTTGTGCTCTGCGGTCACGCACCCAGGTCTTCAAGACCAATACTAATCCGATTTCCTTTTCAGGTTCCTCAAGAAATACCCTTCCACGGTGTGGGAAACCGGGAAGTGATATCAGCCCTCATACGCGCAACAGCACACGAGACCAAGTTGGTCACGTTCAAATCCTTCCTACACCTCTTAATGACTCTCTTATCTCCACGACTAACTCTTCTCACGTCCCTTTATCACCTTGCCCCACTAGTGCGAACGATTCGAATACGCGGAATGTTATTCCTGGTCTCCTGAAATCACTCTCTAAACTACACGTAGGAGCTTTCAACGTCCGAACACTGTGCCAAATAGGACAACAGGCTTCCTTAGCTAGGACTTTGGAATCTCGCATCATCGATGTGTGCTGCCTCTCCCAAACGCGCATACAGGATCCTAGTAGTGTCATTCATCTGACCTCACCATATCAAAGCAACGAACCAACTCGATTTACGCTTCGTGTATCTGGGAGCCCTGATGCTGCTTCATGTGGCCTCGCTGGCGTAGGTATAGCATTGAGTCCTAGGGCAGAACTAGCTCTCTTAGACTGGATCCCAGTAGACAGTCGTTTGTGTGCTGTTCGACTAAACGGAACAGTAAGGACTCGAAAAGATAGGGACACTAGTCGTTGCCTCTTCGTCGTCTCTGCCTACTCTCCCACTAACTGCAGCTCAAATAACGTAAAAGATGAGTTTTACAGAAAGCTTTCCGACCTTCTACGAAAAGCTAGGCGTTCAGATATAGTAATAGTGGCTGGGGACTTTAATGCTCAAGTAGGTAAACTAAGCGAAAGGGAAAGACAGCTGGGTGGATTTTATGGTGTCGCGGCTCAAAGAACAGATAATGGAGACCGTCTGTTGCAGCTATTCTCAGATAACCGCCTGTTTCTTGCCAACACTAACTTTAAGCATAAGGAAAAACATATTTCGACATGGCGACCCCCTAATTCGTCTCAACGCTGGACCCAAATATATTACATTGCTATCAGCCACCGATGGAGGGGCTCGATAGAAGGCTGTCGCTCATTCTGGAGCACATGCTTAGACTCAGATCATGCTCTAGTGCGAGCGCGTATTTGTCTACGTCTTACTGGACGTAGGAAAGATGGTGCGAAGAAACCCCTTAGGGTACTACTTAATGATAGTCAAGCTAAGAGTATATTTCAGGAACAACTCGAAAAAGTTAGGCAGCCACGTAACTGATGCCCACCCCGAGGCAGCATGGAATGACATCCGAAAAGCTGTAGAAACAGCAGTGACGTCTGCAAGTACGGTAAACCATAAGGTTAGGGAGAAACACTGGATCTCAGCAGCATCTACCGCACTGATAGGTGCTCGAAAACTCATTCCATCTGGCTCTGAACATAACGAAGAGCGAAGTCAGCTTAAGAGCAAGCTGACAAGAAGCCTACGCAATGATCGTGAACAGTGGTGGGCAGTGAAAGCAAGAGAGATGGAAAAGGCAGCAGCAATAGGCAAAAGCAGACAACTGTTCAGACTTGTTAAGGAAACCGGTATTAGGAACCCAACTGTTAGCGAAACTATCTCAAAAAAATAATGGACATATTATTCATTCTCAATCCAGGAGATTGGATCGATGAGCAGAACGCTTTAGGGATCAGTTCAACTGGCCTTCAGCCACACTTCGGTTTCCCACGATCTCCAGTCTACCTTAATGGCAAGTTA